AATGGCACGAGTTAGCCAACGAATCGTGATATTTCCCATACATTATATCCCATAGACCCTCGCCAGTGGAGATGCTCTAATTTGCGTGCAGGGTTTAATGGAAGCAATGTTCTTATTTCAATGCGGGTAAAAAGCGATCTGTACTTCTACAGGCGAAGGGCTTTTCGAGCCCGGAAACCATAGCCGACAGAGGCCGCTTCATGAGAATTCATATTTTCGGGTCCTTTTCACGGTGGTCAAAATGCGGTTTTCACCGTGACGATCTCGACCACGGTGAAAACGGCTGTTGGTAAGATTTTCCGGACGTTTAGCATCAAAACCCTATTTTCACGTTTTAAATTTCGTTGTACATGTGTCGTCGCTGTCGGCAGTAGTTTCTGTCATATCGAAATGTTGCGCATTGCTGTTCCCAATCTTTAAATCTTCGAAAATATTACTGCTAGCCGTGACTTTGAGGACCAGTTATTTCTACCGTGGCCAATTTGTCACGGTGGAAAACACCATCGGCACGGTGCAAATGACCCCCAGAAAACAGAATTCTCATGAAGCGGCCTCCGACAATATTGTTCTGAAAGGCAGCAATGCCTCAGGACTTTTTCGCAGACGCTTCGTCTGACAGTACAGCTTACAGCTTTGTGTCACAAGCAGCAACATGTTTTAGTAACGCAGTACTGTAAGTTATTGTACAGCACAGGTACAGTAGACAGTTTACTTTATTGTGGGAAAGTGTAGCTCTTTCTTAGCAGGTTGATTTACACTGCTTCAAGTCAGCTCTGTACGCAAACATTATTACTGCTGACGTAAAACTCGACACATTCAGTTGATCTTTAGGGGCTCGCAACGACAAATGCCTTGGAGGACACTTTCTAGTGTATAAAGTTTATGCGGTTGTCTGCTGCACTTCACAATGTACCCTTGGGTAGTTGTTCAATACTGTACTGTACGCTTCCTCGATCCAGGTGTTGAGCATCATCCTTGCAATGTTATTGCGTCGGGATCCTTCGGAAATTTTTCTTGTTTCAAAAACGAAAAGAAGTTCTTACATATCTGTACAGTATCTACCTGGAATATCCTGTCTGCGGACAGAGAAACGAGGAATAATTGTGCTTCCAGGTACCCTTCGAAGGGATATGAATTAAAGAATTTACACGTGTGTGATGGCAATGTAGAGTATTATCTGTCAAAACACTAGATGCGACAAAAAAGTGAAAATAACCAAGATTGGGCGAGGCGAGACCTAATCGAGACCCGAGACTTCAGTAGTTTTTATTAACCGTTTGCACAGTAAAAATTAATTTCGTACTACGCCGCATGACGACGCCGCATGACGACGCCGCATGACGACGCCACATGACGCAATACTGTAAGGTCACTTGGTCAGCAACTGTTCACAGGTCACAATGTGACCGTCACATGACCTGCTCTTGTCGTCTTGTGAGGACAAACCGCCGTAGCTAAACTCGCGAGCTTGCTCTTCCCAAAAGGTATTGTTATGCCTGCGCCACAACGCTCTCTGCCCCCAACTGAAAGTGAGCTCCTTTCTAACTGCGGGAAACCATGAAACCCACGAGGGACAGCAATGTAGCCAAGTGCCGCCGTAATGTACAGTGCCCAGGGTACAGTTCACGAAAGCAAACTTAACGTTGCGCGGATGCTGTTTGTCTTGCCTGTTTCCACATGGCCATCATTGCATCCTCTCTCGGGTTCTATTGTACTACTGTAGTGTTGACTAAGTGCGAGTGTCTAGTACTAGACGACCGGCAATTTGCCTTGTACGAGGCCAGCTTTTTTTTGCAAAAATATATATGTTAAATCGAAACTCTATAGAGTCAGTTTGGACAACATTTCTTTAACGCACATGCCCTCGGCAAAAAAAATCATGCAAAACAATGGGATAACGGTTGTGAATACACAGAAAGACTAGGAATCTAATGAAGTTTCAATGATCAGTTGACATTTTAAAGAGGCGTTTTGGTTTCGAAGATATCAACACATAACGGTTTGAGGTTGGTTAAAAAGGCTTCTTTTTAAGGCATTCAAAAAATGGCTGGACAAGATGTGCAGAACTCACCAAACTCCACTCTTCCGCAACGCAGAATTCAACTGCAGTGGCGAGAGTATCTGTTTCATTCTTGTTGAGCACGCACAAGTCGAAGAAAAATAAGTTGAAATGCAGCCTCACATGAGGTCAAACGGCCTCATATGACTGCATGAACTACGGTTAACATCATAATTGCCCACTTATCTAGGGTCCAGATAACAAAGCCCGAAAACAAAACATATCCCGCAACTGACGCATCAATGTATGCAGGATATGAAATTGTGAAACGTGGGCACAACTAACTGCAGGCCGGTAATGACCAGTACGGACCTGCCGTCGCCGGGAACACTGTAGCAGAAATACAATACTGTGGTCTCCAGAAATGGCTACACATGCATTAATTACGAAGTGGCGATCTTCGGGACGCTGTAGCTGGACAGCATTCCGAGTGATGGCGAGGGTCTCTGGAGGAAGGGTTTTCACGAATTCATCAATAACACAAAAGAACAGAGTTAAATGTACCGCCGTAAAGTACCTGCAATGCCAAGCTAGAGCCGTGCTGTCACAACTACAGCAATTGTTCAATTGATCCAGGACTGCGAAAAGGGATCAAACGTTCGATGGCTTCTCGACAACGACATGCTACTGTATCCGCAGTGAAATACTGCTGCTGCTAATTGCTCTTCATGTGGTCAAGGGTCCTATGCCCATTTACTGAGCGTGTATTGACATATTGAACCAAAGAACACTTTTTTTCAACCTCGAATACACAGCGACCGAATAGAACAATGACTTTAAAACGGGAAAATGAATATTGCCTCATACATATTTTAGTTTATGCTTCTGCTTAGTAAAACTCTAGTACTCTTCCCAAGTACACGCCGACGGCATGTCCTGTCGCTCCAGAATGGTCTGAATGTTCTAAAAATACAACGCCTGCAGTACAGTATTGAAGAGTGCGGAGCTCTTCGTTGTGCAACAACTGAAAATCATTGAGGGAGCGATTTAGAGTTGATATTTTTAAGTTGCATCGAGGAGCTTCTTTGACTTGGGAGTTCAAGCTCCTTCTAACATGGTTCCGTGAGAATTGAAGAAGATGAACAAATGTGCCTGAAACGATTTGTGTACAGTACTCTTTTCTGTATGCACCTACTACAGAGTAAAGTCTCGATAAGCTGCGTACCTGATATGATGAACTGTCTCGGTACAGTGAACCGAAGGACTATGAGGGAGGCGCCACCCCGCTTTTTTGGCCCAGAATCGACGTTTTCGTATTTCTAACGTGAACTAGACTCTATAGAATGAACTACGCGATACCATGAACATACAGAAACATGAAAACCCCGGAGTTCACTTTATCGAGGCCGAAATGCGCACTAGAAACGAACCATCAACGACTACAGAAGCCATCCATACGATTTTGCCTCAGATTCGAACCCTGAAGCCTCCTTACGCGGCTTTGTTCCTCATACAGAAGTGACTTGATGCTCGAAGGCAGCCCCGATTGAACTAGATTCGCGTCCGTCATAATACAACTGAGTTCGTTAGATAGAGCTTCTAATGTTCCGCGATACCGAGCAAGCGACGGTTTGCGTCCTGTCCGGTCTTTCGCTGGCACAGTAGAGCGATCGTCCTCACTATCTGAATCACCGTTAAATTGATCTTGCTCAATGCCAGTAAATGCCGCAAAATCCCCTAATCCAAGATCAATGGCTTGACCGAGAGCTGACTCTTCTGATATAGACTCTAGATGTGGCAGAATTAAAAGAAAAGGAAGGCTGGATCACAATGTGAAGTGGTCCAGATATGGAATTGCGCCCGTCGACGTTGCCCGTCGACGTTGCCCGTCGATGGACAGAGTCAAGGAAAGTGAGTTTGTGTTCCTGTGACCGTATCATCGGCATTGGTGGAGACGCTCTAAGAGCGTCTCCACCGGTGTGGTCCAAATGGTCCAAATCATACTGTCCCCGTAAAACGGGTACACGTGTACACGAGCAGTTCCGCCGCCGTGAACTGCCTCGGTAAGGCGAACTCAATGGGCTGCTCGGAAGCGCCACATTTCGGTTCACGATATCGAGACTTTACTCTGTATACGTGTATGGACCCTACACGTCAGTTTACTCTCTACTGTACTGTTGTAAAGATTTAGAATGTTGTGCACGGGTAAGCGGTAAGCCTTCTAGTTACAATAAAGGTCGACCATTCAAGGTACAGTACAAGACCTCCATTAATCGTGATTGGCAATCATGCAATCACGCAATCACGCGATCATGACATTAATTTAACGTCGTTCTGCATCGTTCCTTTCTCCAACGTGTGCTACTTGTAGCTGTAAGCACATTTCCACGGCTTTGCGTGAGCATGTGTTAACGCACTTCTTGCTTATTTGAATGGGGTTTAAATCTTTTAGAATTGCAAGGAGCATTACAAGAAGTTGGAGCACAAGATTAATTTTTAAGTCGATTGTTTATTTCTTTAATGAGCATGACCATTTTTTAGGAAACGTAATATAAACAACCAACCACAAGGGAGTAGGCACCATTTATTGACGTGATTGCGTGATTGCGTGATTGCCAATCACGATGAATGGAATGGCCCTGAGGTGGGATCAAAGTGGGATCATGGATAGCTCAAAAACGCAGATTCTGCGTTTTTGAGCTCCTTGTTATTGATTGGAAACGTGTGCCAACGGTGTAGATCTGGTTCGGGGCTGTGTCATGTGCGTACTTTATCGTTCGAAAGGTACACTCGTTAACATCAGCTCCAGGACGGAAACAACTCATGTGCCTTAAAGGACAAAGGAGTGAGACGACGTAGCACAGACCTTACCCGCAAGGAGCATAGAGAAATGGTGACTGTCAATTGCTGGCGTAGACTCGCAAGTGAAAATTGGACGATCACATCCTTCGGAAACTGCTGATCGTATCGTCGTTTGAAAAGTTACTTGATTTCTCCAACCATGGCCGAGAAGGCCGCACAAGCTGATGCGTGGGGAGGTTATGTTCCAAAACGTATTGTTTTGATGGGAGTTTCCGGCAGCGGTAAGAGCAGCATCGGCAGAGCATTCGCACCATTGGTACAGGCATGTTATTTCGACGGAGATTCATTTCATCCGCAATCAAATATCGACAAGATGACTGAGGGTGCAGCACTCAAGGATGAAGACCGCTGGCCGTGGCTCAAAAAAGTTGGCGAAACGCTAGCTTCCGGGGACCGCCGTGTCATTGTTAGTTGCTCTGCTCTGAAGCGAATCTACCGCGACTGTATTCGTGACGTTGCCGGGAGTGGCGTTGTTTTTGTGTATCTTTCTGGCAATCGTGAGCTGCTGGCAAGCCGAATGAGTTCTCGCAGTGGCCACTTTATGCCAGAGTTCCTTCTTGACAGTCAATATGCAGACCTGCAGCCTCCAGAGAAGGACGAAACATCCATCACTGTTGATGTAATCCTGCCTATTGAAATAGTGATACGAAATATATATGAAAAGCTTCAATCGATGATTCGGCTGAGTGTCAATACTGCGTTGTTATAAAGCTATATGACAAACATGAGAGTCTCCCTGCAGCACCCCAGACATTTATGGACAAGCTCATCATCGGCGATTACCCAGGTCGATTTATGGCTTGAAGTCTGGTCCTGTACGCTTGACCTGTGTTATTACTCTGTGCTCACGACATCAATGGAATACGGATATGTTTCTACGAATCTGCATGTTTCTCACCTCATTCCAAGAGTTCTATGCCGCCGTTCTAGTACACATTACTGTATACAGCAGACTTGGAATTGCGGACAACGTACGGTATGCTAAATATATGGAAACTACAATACTTGCCGTACTACTGGATACGAAACATGGAGGTGTTTGAATTCGTGATCTGCCTTCCAATATCTCGATGAAGGATGTTACGAGAGGTCTCTACTGCACAGTACTGCAGAGAGACCATGATCGGTGGAGAACTGCAAGTTGCAGGTTGTCACGCTTGCATGCCGCTGCTTCAGAGCATTCAGGCTTTCTTATCCTGCCCTGATTCTGGTAGTCTTCCTTCAGTTCTGTTCTGCAACTGGAAATCAAGACAATAAAGCAACAAGGGCCTGGAGCTAGCCATCCTAATCTTGCGTGTAGGTCAAGACGAATCTACAGGGACGACTCATACGTGAACCTGTTATCGATTCGGACTGGCTCCGTTGCGTATCGACAGCTATAAGTAATAGCTGGAGTGCATTCTCATGCCTTACAAACCTGATCGTAAACACAGTTTGTCCTTCAGCTTACGATCAGTTGCTACGGAGTTGGCAGTCTTAACATCCCTTGCGCACATATCACGACACGCCAGGACAGGGACGCCAAGCATGTATCAAACGGAGAAGACGATAATCGGCCTAGGTCATTACTTCAGCCATCCAACCATTCCAGGCATCTTATTCGTAATGATGCATTTATTGGCATGAAGAATGACCGCGTACAAGGAGGGGAGCGTCACACCACTCGTTCCGCATGCTGTTCTACTGCAGCGTTTATAGCCTTTCCGAGCCCTCAGCGCACTTCCTGTCGCAGTCTCTTGCCAGACGCCCCCTAGCCCGTCACAAACCATTAAGCAAATTCGTGAAAGGGAATTGGAGTTGGTTGCAAGTAAAATAATTCTTTCAATGACTTTCTGAAAGGCTATGCTTTTAGGCCCTGGCATTGAAATATCTCAGCCAAAGACTTGGCGTCTGGCGGGGCGAGATTTAACTTGGAGAATGGTTGGTCACCAAGGCCTTCACGAATCCGTCCCAGTATCAGTACCAGCGATTGGAATTCCATGTCCTCAAGACCAGTCATTCGGTCGTTTAGGTCTCCGTCGTCGACGTCCGGCCGTATTCTTTGCTCAGTGCGTTTCTGCGCTTCCCAGGAGATCAGTGCGGCTGAAACCAAACATGAGACCACTTTTTGGACTTGTCCAGCACTTACGAGAATGTCGAAATTTGATTGTGCTACGGAAATTAGGGTCCTAGCGATTGTCGTGTTTTCAGTTGGGTCGTTATGCAGCGGCACTACATTCAAAATGGCTTGCAGCATAGCGTTGGGGTCTCCCAGAACCTGCCGAGGTGCAGCCTTTGAAGACAAGATTCGTGCCACGGCACCGGCAACGTTGTCAATTAAAGCCCCGTCAGAGGCATTCCCAGCTACCAGAATCTTCTGAAATATCTGCAGAGCTTCTGGAAGCCGAGCCCAAACGGCTTCGTTTGACGCCCTTGCTTTGGAGAAAATTACCCCAGCAAGGAAAACGGCGTTACGCTGAAGAATCTTGCCTTCCATGGACTTGATTGCATTCAACGCAACTGGCAAAATTTCTGCAGCTACATTATCTGTGACCTTGCGTGCAAACTCTTCTTCTGTTCCACCGGGGGCAGGCGGTGTAAAGTTCGTGCACTTGTCAAAATTGAGATACAGAAGAACTCCAGCCACTGCCCCAAAAACCATTCCTCGACTTCGTGGTGACCTGCTTAGTTTGAAAAACGCTTCAAGCATTTCTGACAAAATAGACGGAAAATCATCTGCGAAGAAGCCACGCAAGGAATGAGCCATGGCTTCAACAACCTCTCCAACGGCTTCAATAAGAGCTGCCATGTCTTCACCCTCAATGTCGGCATCGTCAGTGAAGTGCTCATCTCCTGAATCGTATTCGCGTGGTTCTTGGCAGGCTGTTTCCGATGCCAGGACCCCTCGAATGACATCTGTTACTGCAGTTTTGTGTTCAGCAACCATATCCACAGAGATGAGTTCGATGAAAGTAGCGAGAGATTTCAATACGGTTGCCGTCACCCATACGTTACTGTCTTCCATGGCTCCGTAAGCCAATCTCGAAAATCCATCAGTTGTCAGTTCAGTCCGTCCGAAGGCTAACTCTGGGCGATTGGCCATGAGCATGACGTTTGCGCCTATGATTCGGCAATGGGCTCGGTACGCAGCGGCGCGGATTTCTTCATGGAACGAAAACGTAAGGTCGTCAATGTGCTTACATCCACTCCGAAGTAAGCTTCGAATGGTTGCCGCAGTCTCCGGCGAAGAGGCCATCCTCTTCATAAAAGAATCGGTTGTTGTGGCCGACGCAAATGCCCCTACACAGTGAACTGCCAATGTCTTCTCTTCAAGTAATGAGGTTCGCACGTACATGCCATATTCTCGCCTCGCATCCTCGTCATTGCTTGGTCCGAGACCGTTTCTTGACACGCCTTCATCGTCGTCATCATCGGTAGGATCAATCGTATCGTGGTTTTCTATAGACTCTATTGCAGAAGTCAACACCTTAACACCGAAGACCGCCACGACGTTACCTCCCACCGAATCTGCCATTCTTTCGAAAAATGAATAGGCAGCTTGCTTGCAGCTTGGGTCGTCGCTATCTAAGCAGGAGATAGCCTGGGCAGAGAATCTCTCAATGACTGACTGGTCCTTGCAATTCGACACGAGAGAACCGGCGGCTTCCAAGGCTGCTACACGTGCATGCACGTCTGTCTTCCCCGTTTGCGAGATCAACCGAACAATGCCCTCGACTACATCCTTGAACATTTCCGACGATAGCAAAGCGGAGACTGCATGCTCGGCCAACACGCCAACAGCTGTGATGGCTTCGACGGAAATCTCCGGACTAAGGGCACTCAACGTGTGAATGATTTCTGCAACTCGAGCCCGCAATTGTTTGGTCGTATCGTCCCTGAACAAGGAGACTGACGCCTCTAAAGCCATACATGCGTGGCGATTCACGAACAACTCCGGGTCTCGCATTCCATGCAGAATAGCGGTGAGAGAAATATTTGCCAAGTCTTCCAACTCCTCGTCGGGCATTTCGACGTCGTCAAGCGCCTCACACGCCAAGCCCAATGCCTCTATTGCCCTCGCGCGCGTGGGAAACCCAGCATTGGCATCATGTGCGCCATTTGCAAGCTTGGTCAGGACATCCCTAGCATGTACCGTGACCTCATGCGTGCAGCCTCTGCAAATAGCGCCAATGATTCTATACCCGGCAGCAACGGTGGCATCGCGATGCTCTGGAGGCGCATTTTGAGTGGCCTCAAATGTTCGCGAGATGACGCTCATAACCTCGGTGAAGACGAGCTTACTAAGCTCTGGCCGCCTGGCCATGGCATCCAACAACCTCAAGGACAAGAGAATGGCATTAACCTCATCCTCGTCGGGATCATCGTCATCATGGCCAAACGAGGACGGGGCGCCAGCAAACGCGGCGTTATCGAAAATGACTTTGCATGCTGACTGGACTAATCTCAGAGCGGCGCCCAGCTTTCTCATGTGCTTGGGCCTTACCGTGGCAGAGCCGACCAAAAACTCGTTTGCCGCGGCGCGGGCCATCGGGGCGACATCCGTGGACACAAACATGCGCTCCGCAAACTCAAGGGCAGACTCGAAGTACTTTCTAATCAGCGGGCCGGCAGGATCCTCCATGACAAGAGCGAGGACCTCGAAAACGCCGCAAGTGATTCTGCCAAACTCATCGCTGCGGGTGTCCTGATGGCCCGTCGCGACGGCAACAATCTTCGGAATGTGGGGCTCGAGAGCTGGGAAGCTGTCGCCCTTGGCCATGGCAGCGGGCCCCGCACAGGCGACAAAGGCATGAAAGGCGGCGACCCTGACTTTCGGGACTGGGTGCTCCATGCCTTTTGCCAGCAAAGGGGCAAGGGCCGGGATATGCTCGACGACGAGGTCGTTGACGGCGTCGACAAAGCCGTCGACGATGGCGAAGGCGACGACGACCAGGTCCGGGTTGTCGGCCGCGGCGAGCGTGGCGACGAGCTGGAGCAGTTCGGGCCAGATGGCGTCGTCGAGGGAGCAGAGGTCGCACGCGAGGGCGACGATGGCCTTGCGCGAGAGCTGTGCAGGCTCGGCTGGGATGCGCGGGATGAGGGCCGCGCGGATGGAGGCCTTGGCTGGTGGCGGCAGGGACGGCCAGTGGTCCGGCAGGTAGCGGCGCAGCATGACGGCCGCCAGCTGGCGGATGGAGGGGGAGGGGTGCGAGCAGATTAGGTGCGTCAGCGGCTCGATGCAGGAGGGGGAGCGGCCGAGCGCTTCTAGATTGCGCTCGGCTTGGCGGACGGCGTTGGTGTCAGGGACGGTTAGACGCGACAAGGCGATGGCGACCGAGTCCGCCGAGGGGGTGGGCGTCATATTTGCAAGGGGTTGGGCGGGGAGGGGGGGAGGGGAACGGAAAGGAGTAGGGAAGTGAGTAGGGAAGTGAGTAGGGAAGTGAGTAGGGAAGTGAAGGTGTCTACTACTGGAGGGGACTGTTGCGGGGGGGGGGGGGGGGGGGGGGGGGGAAAGCCCCCCGGAATTTGGGGGGGGGAAGGAATTGGGTTCCGGGGGGAAAAACCCGGGGGGGCCCCT